TCAATGCACATCCTTTTGTAATTTGGCATGTGTGCCTATAGAGTCCCCCCACCTAAGGGATTGATAATTACAATCTTGCTTTCGGTTGTAGACTTGTATCAGAGCTCCAAATCAAATTCGGCACCTAAAAAACAATGATCAGACGAATCAAATTCAGATAAACGGATATCAGGTTTGAAAAGATACAAGAATGGTAGTTAATTAGAAGCAGGTTTTGGGAATAACTGTGAAGAAATACCCGGCAAAAATTGAGCTTGATGGTATGGACCTCCATTGAAACTCATGCTGCAGTAAGAAAAAAAAGATAGAAGCTTGGAACCAAGAGCCAATGATCAATAACCACGGCCAAACGCCAACAGGTTAAGTGTCTTCCACGAAACATGATTCTAACAAACTAACAACCCAACAGCCTCTACCAAATCTACTTATACTTTAGTGATATTTGAGCCAATACCTAGAACGTATATGGTAAACATGCATATACATCCACCAAACTACTTTATTTTAATTTGGAGAACATTTGGTAACTCTTTTCTTCAAGTTCAAGCCAAAGCTTCCGTTGATAAGCAGCAGCACATTTCCTTGACCATAAGGCTATGTTTGGTTTGTAAAGGCTTCCCTGTCTTTGCCTTCTTTTTCCTATTTTTTCCTTCAAACCAAACATAGCCTAAGATTTGGCATATGGTTTTGTTGTGTGTGATGTGATGTTCATCATTGGCTCTTGAATCTTGATGTCAAGGGTCATCAAGAATCTCTCTCATTGCCTTCCAATTCCAAAGTGGGCCGGCATCAATGGATGAAAAGCATTTCTTTTGGATATGCAAAGGGAAGCCCCAGCGGCGGGCACCGCGGCTCCGCGGGTAGCACGTTCCCAAAAATTTAAGCAAGAAATTAATGTTAAAGGTCTCAAAATCAGCTCATTCAAAACAGAAAGTTCATGAGCTTTGTTAACTAACCAATTTGCAGTTATATTTGCTTCTCTGAAAAACATGTTCTTACTGAACTTTTCCTTCCAAGCTATTTCAATGATATTGCTTTAATCTCTACGGTGGTTTGGTCTTGTAGTTGAGGCAGTTGATGACAAGTTTTGAATCACCTTCAATAATGATGTACCTGTTTCTAAAATTGCTTGCTATATTGTGGGTCTCCCAAGTTGCCCAAGCTTCAATTAAGTTAACAGTGGTAAATCCGATTTTGTAGGCTTTTAGGTCAAGAATATTTCCCAAGTGATCCCTTGCAACACAACCTATAGAGCAGTGACCATTTACACACGAAGCGTCAAAATTTATTTTAATAGCATCTAAACATGGACTCATCCATCTTATCGGGATCCAACCTACTTGAACCAAGCATTGCAAAACTCAAACTTGACTCAACTAACTACTCAGCTCAAGTCAAATTCAAATACTTAGCAAACTAAACTCGAGTAGCTCGCAAGTAGCTCAGCTCACTTACACTCCTAATGTCAGCTAAGCAGAAAGTTAATAAGGTTAAATAAATTTTATATTATAGTTCTCGTACATTAGTTGAACTTACACTCCTAATGTCAGTTAAGTTAAGGGGGCGTTCTTTTTTTGGATTTTGAGAGGGGGAAAGTTAGTCAATGGAATTGACCAAGAAAGCCATGTTCTTTTTTCAGATTTATGTGGGGGGCAAGGAAAGTTTATTTTTCTGGGTATCACTTACCCGGGTAAATGATTCCCAATCTCGTAGGTGGATAGATAACTTTCCCACCTGAGAAGAAAATTGCTAATACTTGAAAGGAACAAAAAATGCCCTTTTAATAGTGAATTTTTATGGTTAAAATGATCATTGCCTTATTCACCTAGAAAAATAAAAAAATGTAGGTAAATGCAAACTAACTTACTGAAAGTAAATGAGGCCTAAGAAGAAAGACAATAAGATTAAATATTTTTTATTATAGTTCCAACACCCAAACCACTTTTGCTGCAGTGTGTTAAAACTATGAAAGCCTTTGAGGAATTAATCTAACCCTACCCTTGGTGAGGCCACAACTATACATGCAAGGCCCTTATTAAGCATTTGGGACTCTAGATCTACAATGAAATTTTTGGGGAATTTCGGGCAATAACTTTTAACAAGGTTTCCTTATTTCAATAATATTTTTAATATCTTATGATATTTTTATGTTATTTTTATTGATGTTGATAGAATAGAACCCTCTGAAATTTTGACAAAATAAAGATGAAATTGCAAATTTTCAGAAATTTGACTGAAATAAGCTCACCCGAAACTTTTCATATTTTATTTTAGTTTTCCATACTTGAAACTGAAATTATAATTCTCCATAGAAATTCAAGAACGCATTTCTAGTCTCACCTCTTGGGGGGAAAACACTTCATGACCAAAAATAGGTTTTATGTGCCTTTATTCTAAGAAAATATTGTTTCTTCAAGCCATATTTCTTTTCTATTTCTTGATGGGTAATTCAAACTATATTTCTTGAAATCACTAAAAAATACAATTTATGTTAGAGAATATCCCCTACATACTCTATAAAAGTCTTTCTAAGAAAACATTGTTCTTGGAAAGAGATGTAAACCCATTTTTTTGGAAATGCAACACTAAAAACTGGGAAGCTTACCAATGTTTTCTTAAAATCATCCAACCCCCATTTTTCCACCAATGTTTTCTTAAATCAAAATGAAATTTCTTAGTTCTTGATGAGGGCGGATTTGACCCTCCAATGACATTGTGACACCTGGCACCTCGTGACAACTAGGTGTAGCCTCATGACAGATAGGTGCAGCCCGGCACCTCGCAGGCAACTCACCACTAGGCAGCTCGCTTCCAAGTAGCCTGGCACTTACAAACAGCCTGCCACTTCACAAGTAGTTCGCCACAAGCAGCTCGGCACCTCACAGGCAACTCGCCATCATGCAGCCTGGCACCTTACAGACTGCTCGCCACCAAGCAGCTCGGCACCTCACAAGCAGCTCGCCACCAAGCAGCCTGGCACCTTACAGGCAACTCACTTCCCAGTCAGACTGACCGCCGCGTGATAATTCCAAGGATCTCACCACCGTGCCCCGCATTTTACGGGATTGTGACTTGTAACGGCTATATTAGCTCACCCACTCCCCAATTCAGGCGGGAATGGGTAACCTTACCAGTTGGTGGCATTATCCCCACCTAACACGAAAATAGGTCCCATCACAGCGGGAATCCAGAAACTACTCCATCAAACCCACGAGGACTCCAGTATATAAAGGCCTCACCCCCCAAAGGCGAAGGGATGATGAGAAAAAATGATGAAAGAGGAAAGTAGTCTCTGGCCTCTAGCTCTCCCATTCTCTATTATCATCTTCAGCTCACAACTAAGTGCTGATTTAGCCATCGGAGTGACCTCGCCGGGTAAACACCCCCAGGTTCTCTGATTCAGTTCTTACAGATCAACCAGGTCCGTCGTCTACAAAGATGAAGCAGATCATCTCTTGCAGGGAGCAGCCAAGTTGCGCTACACTAGAGAGCTCCACTTCAGCCTCTGAGTCATCGACCACCTAGGAGCAGACGAAATGACGAGGTAGTTAGCACAAAAAAATATGATACGTGACCAGAAATGATCCATCAATTCCAAAGATAAAATGATTTCTTGATTTCAAGATCCAAAATTTATGTTTTTGAAATTGGATAACCAGTTTCACTCTCTATAGTCTATACTGTTCACTACTGACTTTTCTGGATGTGTTTGGTTGCGGTGCAATGTTATTTGTATTGATGCAAAACTACGATAATGCAAATGATTTGGATGTAAATTCTGATTTATTTTTTGTTTCAAAGCTTTTATTTAAACAAAATTTAACTAAAATTTACATTCTTTTCATTTGCACTTCCATGCATTTGTATTAATGCAAATAAAATTACACTTCACCAAACGCAGGCTAATGAGAATCAACCCTAAGAAAACAGTACACATTGCAAAAAAGAAAAAAGAAAAACCTTAGCTTTGGAATCGGAAATCCAATGGACCATGTGGTCTGGTCCGAGTTAAATTAAAAAAAAAAAAGCACAAGTCACAGACCACAGGTCCACAGCTCACAAGTCACGAGACAAGCATAGCGTACCTTGTTCATCTGTATCTTTTTAAACAAAAGCTAGAGCTTTAGGTTGGCTTTATGTTGAAGCTGATTTACCTTTTATGCCAGACCTTTTGGGTGTCCTAGGTGGACCCAATTAATGATTTATGGGCCTGGACCTGGTAATTATAAACAACCTTTACAAAGAAAAACAAATGTTAAGCCCATTAATCATGGCCCCTTAATCATTGGATAATATTAACTTTGTTTTCACTATACTTGTTAGACCCATTAAAAGAGGTTGTCTAACACCATTACTCTTTGACCCTTTTTTTCCTTTACTAGGTAGGACCCACCACCACCTTGATTTCACATGCAAATGCAACACGGGTCGGGTCGGGTCCATATAGCCGCGTGTAGAGCCGATTATTTAGAAAAGAAACGAAACTTTGGGGTTGGGCTGATCCTAATTCCTAATATATGAGTATAGGCCCTTATTAATCGGGTCTTATAGGTAGTGCATTCGGGTACCCATTGAAGGATGGGTGCCTTTCACCTCTTTACTTCCACTACATTTTAAAGATCATGTTCTGTAACTAAGGTCTATAAAAGGAAGCCGTACAGTAATTCCTTGCCTTGGCAGCACGTTTTGCCTCCGCTTATCACTCACTCTAGCGAGTAAAGGAAGCTCCGAAGTCAGAGGGAGCGAAAGAAGAACCGACGAGGGAGAAAATGGGTGCCACGTGGGATCACACTAAGTGACAGTTTGTTCAGACGGTTTCCGTTAGAAACGCGGGCCACCTTCAACTCCAATCAGGATCTTGGAGCTAGCCAATGGATGCCGTCCGTATGATGGCTAACCATATTAACGGCGATTTGACGACACTTGACGGTGGAGAAGCAAGCTGTTCTCCCAGGATGAAGACAAGAGCAGGAGACAGCACAGAGCGGACCTATTAAGCATCTCGTTAGATTGGAAGTCTCATCTCACATGATAGAAAAATCTAAGTATTAAAGAGAAAAGAAAAACTCTTCATTCCTAGTCCAGTCTTACAAGCAGGCTTCAGATTCCCAAATTGTTTGATCTACACGCTTTTCTTGAGTCATTACAAGATCCCGAAGCTCTTTGATTCATACAGATCAAAGGAAGCTCTTGCATTCGAGCTCTGTATCGTCAGATACTGTCAGCTGCAGAGTGATTTATAAGAGATTTTCTTTTGTTGTTGCTCGATTTCACCATTGAACGCTTGGAGCGTTTCTTTTTGTTTTCCAAGTTTAGTTCGCTTTCTATGAGAGACAATGTCCTTGACTCAATACATTTGAAGGTATACTTCCTGTGAAACTGTAGTATTTGTTTTTTCGAAGAAGAAGAAAAAGAAATTGCATTACTTTTACGGTGAATTTTTTGTTTTTTATGGTACTTCTCTTGATCCGTGGGATTCCGCACTACTATGGGACTTGTAGGTGATGAGATGCGTAATTTAGACTATTGTTGCACTGAACCAAATAAACTTTGCAATGTCTGTTCTTGAGTTTTTTCATTTAATTCAGATTCATGACTTTGTTTGATGAATACCTTACGGAAGATTTGATTTTTAATGCTAAGAGGGGCTGGTCATAGGCTTGAGCTGATTAAGCTCAAAGATGTAAGAGTAAGACTATAATACTTGCAAAGTTTTCATTTCTATTTTTCTTGGTTTTGGGAGAAGTTTATGGCTCTTTTGAAGTAAAGGACCTGAGTGTCCAAGATTTGAAATCATTATTAAATAATATATTGCAAATGAAGTTTTTCAGCTAATAGAGTTGTTGAAGTTCTTAATTGGTGATTTTTTTCGTTGATTTAGTTGATAATTCCCGGGGATCTAAGGTCAAAAGTGATTTCTGAGAAGTTTGATTTGTTGTCGTGAATCTACAGGTATTTGGGGAATGTAAGAATTGATTTGGCCTCTCATGGCTGGAGAGATCGAAGAACCCATTAGCTTTAAGGTTTGGTCTTCACCCAAAGTAGGGATCTAATCACATTTCATTTCTAAACACTTGTGGTTAACGTTATTCTTAAATTGGTTGATTTATTATGTATTGAGTGGAGATGCTTTACGAGTATTTCAAGTCTTAAAAAGAACTACCTTGCTATTTGTATTGGAATCTTAGATATGTGATCTGGTTTGATCTTTATAGAGAGATTTAATGATTAAACTTGAGATTTTACAGGTTGAAATTGGCTTATGAATTAGTGATACAAAGCCATGATTTTTCCTGTACATTACTTTCTCTATATAAAACTTTCTTGCAAAGCCAAATTTATGTTATCATATGCAATCTGCAGTTACATTATTTCTTTTCTTTCAAAACTGGCAGGCAGGCTCTTTACATTCTGGTTCCATATCATTTGGAAGATTTGAAGGTGAATCCTTGGCTTGGGAAAGGAGATCCTCCTTCTCACATAATAGGTACCTTGAAGAGGTTGAAAAATACTCAACACCAGGTTCTGTCACTAAGAAGAAAGCCTACTTTGAAGCTCATTTTAAGAAGAAAGGTTTTCCACGGCAAATTTCATGTGGGACAGAGTACCAAAGTGATGAAAATGATGTCCTTGACCATGTGAGTTACATGGAAGAATTGGAGAATACTAATGAAGGAAGCTATTTTGCCCACTATGATGAAAGCCCACATGGTTCATATTACCATGGAGAATATGATGTGACGGGTTATGATGGAGAGGGTGAGGAATTTTCTCCTAAATTTCAGATGGAACTCTCTCTCACTGATGAAAATGCAGTGTTGGGTGGTAATAATCAAATTGTAGAACTTGACACAATGGAACAAAACCAATTTCTCAATAATGTCGATGAACCCTCAGATGATGGTCTACAACATGTAGAACCTGGTGAAACACATCAAATTAAATCCGAGATCACCACGCTTTTGGTCAAGGATGAACCAGAGATGGAAGTAAAATATATACTTGCTAGTGAAGTAGAAAATGTGGATACCTTACCTAAAAGCACCAACCCATCCACGACCAAAAGTAATTGCATGGTGGGGAAAGCTGATAGTCCTAGCTTGAAAATTTCACAAAAGTCATCTCTAAAGGTTAGATTCTTCACTGTAATTGTTCATACAAGGGCTAGTGTGTTGGTGTATCTTTATCTTTCTTACATGCCCATTTAACTGTACCAAGCATTCTGTGTAGGGATTTTCTAATAGGAACATAATTTCTATTATATGCTATGATTCTGTCATTTGCATTACTCTTATCGATAACTTGACCTAGGTAAAGGCCAGGGCAGAAACGAAAACTGTCAAACCCAAACCGAGGGCTCAGGTAACAGTAACTCAGGTTCCAAGAAAGATTTCAAGTGAAGTGTCAAAGCCTTCAAAGAATTCAAGGAGAATCGAAAAAGAGACTCCAGTAAGAATTAGAACAGATAAACATTCTCCCCAAAAGGTTTCACCAGCCATTGGTTCTCAAACCAGAACTTCAAAACGAGAGGTATCCATCTGGTGATATCAAGATTCCTCATTCTTTATTGTTTAAATCATGTTGTTGGCATTTAGTTAGTCACAGACAGTCAAAGCTGGAGTGAAACAATTCTAGGCCATAAACATTATTGAAGATGATCATTCATAGCTTACATTTCAGATAGAGATAAGTATACATGCATCCATATAACTAGAGTTTACCATAATAATGACAAGGCAAATCAAGGCATTGTCTTTTGAAGTCTAAGCACTTCCAAACATGCTTAATCAGATTTGCTGAATTAGCAACAGTTATCAAAAATTGAAGTTTCAGTATAACATTATTAATTCTTGTTATGGATTGGTGTTGCCTCATAGGATTCTGAAAACTTGAAGACAAAATTAAATCAAGAAAATAAAAGGTATGGCATCCTTTCAATTACTACCAAACTGTATCATATGTCATCAGTTACTGACTGGAATACTCACCTTGTTTTTGTAACAGTGAGAAAGATACAAGGGCAAAGAAAGTAGGCAGTAAGTCTCAACCTGCTGGTTCTGAGAAGGAAGAATGCCAGACTGCAAATAGGTTTGTGAGAAACATAATTGTAAAGAAAATATCTTTACTTTTTGGTCCTGAAAATAAATCGTTCAGTTTTGATCTTTTTGACTAAAATTTTGATAATGTAGGCCCAAGAGAACAGTAAATTCGTCTAAGACAAGCATAAAATCAAGTTCCGCAGTCTTTGTCTTCAAGAGTGATGAAAGAGCAGAAAGGAGAAAAGAGGCAAGTTAACATCTGGTCTGATTCATTTTAAATTTGTTTTAGCTATAAGGTATTAGACCTGAAAGAGTTACTCATCCTTTATTGTCCCTCACTTGATCCAGTTCTATATGAAGTTGGAGAAAAAAATGCATGCTAAAGAGGTTGAGATGAATGAAATCCAAGCAAGAACACAGGTATATGGAATGATTTCCATTGAAGTGTATATATTTGAACCTGGTGGGAGCCAAGTTTTCTGGATGAATTTTTAGACAATAAAACAAGAATTAATTTTCATAATATAGTATTTTACTCCTTGGTATTTCAATTACTATTCATGTAAAAGGAAATTCCAGTTTTCAGAAGTTCATCTGTGAGACACTGTACTCTGTAAGATTCTTGTGGCAGATACATGCCAAAATTTTTGCATATATATCTCATATTATACAAAATAAAGTAGATGCTTATGTTTGGTTCATCTGAATCACCCTGTCATTTCTAGTATGTAAATGATTTTTAAGTATTCCATCTTAGAGTTTTTCAGTTATTTATTATTAACCATAAAGAGACTAATTGTATTACTTACTGTATCTATAGGAGGAGACAGAAGCTGAGATAAAACAATTTCGCAGAAGTCTCAACTTCAAAGCAACACCCATGCCTTCTTTCTATCGTGGAGCTGCTTCACAAGGCTCTGATGCCAAAAAGGTACAATCCAAAAGTGTATATACCTTTATACAAGGAAAAGTCAAAGTTGACATGGACAACTTTATGTTCATAAGTTGGATATGTTAGATATTCATGTTGCACTCATGAACATCTTGGAACTCCCAGGAAAAACCTTGCAATTTTTATTCCTTATTTTGCCAAATATGAATATGACCTTAGTAATTTGCATTAAGCATTCCTTTTTAGACATGTTATGTTTACAACAGTTAACATTGCATGATCAGATATCTATTAAAATATGTGCTGCATGGGGATGGCTGACATATTCCTAGGGTCAGTGATGTTTGAAAGTTCTGACATGCACTGTCCAACAATGTTTACAATGTGATTATGAAAGGTCAAGTAATTGCTTAAAGGATCATAAGGCAGCCCAGTGCACGAGGGCTCCCACCAATTTCTTAAAGAATCATACGATAAATTTAAAAAGGCGGAAAAATTTGTTGTTCTTTTTATCCCTTGGTGGTGATTCTTACTTGCACTACCTTCTTAGGTTTGGCTAGTAAAAATGGTAACATGAGCTTACCTCAATCTCTTCCAAATTAAGTGTTCGGTTGTGGAAGTTTTGGACCTTGAGTTGGACTATTCTAGGAAACACAACCTTAATCCAAGATTAGGTTGACTTCCAGCTCGAAGCCCTGGTTCCTCAGCACAACCATAACCAGACAATTTATTCTGTATTACAGTTGTTATATTGATATTTCCTTTTACCCTGTTAACAGGGTAACTTTGGCGATGCTGTTTCAGTCTCATTGTGCACTTGTTAATTGCTTTTAGCTTGTATGATACCATAACCATGCCTTTCTGATCTAGCAAAACCAAACCATACTCAACCCAACCTGAACTGGGTTGGGTTCCATTTAAGAAAGAATCTCCTTGCCTTGAACTGAGAACGTTAGGTTAATTCATGGATTGGCTCAGGTTACTGTTCTGGCTAGCTATTTAGATTTTACTTTTGGATTAATTTCACCAACTTGGGCACATATCAACTTACTAGAAATGAATTTTATGGCTTTCCTGAAAATCCCAAAATTGTATTCCAACAGAGTTTTTAACTCCCATGTGCATAGACACAAAAATGCTTGTAACTGCTTGGTTTTCCTGAAGAATGGAAAGTTTGACCAGGCTAGAATATCTGTTTGAACTTTATTTGAAGTAAATCAGTTCTCACATCAACATGTAAACCATTTCTAGTTCCTTACAAGATTCCATTCCTCAATTTGCTCAATAAATATTAGGAAATAAAAGAATATGGGCCACTTACATTTATGTTTTAGTTTCATTTTATGTTGTATTAATAGTGTGTGTATGTGTGTGTGTGTGTGTGTGTGTTACCTTTTACCTGTATTTAGATGTAATTTATTTGACCAGGGGACATGAAGGCAAAAGCATGCATGCACCCCATAATCACTGGCAATTACCATCTCTAATCCCATCTTACCTTGGAGAGCTTGTCACTCCAAATAGATAAGTTTTCCTAATTGATTTCTACATATATGTCAAAATAGAATAATTTGTAGCAAAGAAAAAGAATCTTAGCAAACTCTCTTATGGTACTGACCGTTACTGATCTCTTCTTTCAGGCTGTATCAAATACTGTGAAACCAACTAAATCGCAAAGTAAGACCACGAGTCCAGTTAGTAGAACTGCATCCAGATCACAAGCATCTACAAAAGCAGGAAACCAGAACCTCTCTGCTAGTGAATCTGCAGATGCCACTGCTCAACCACAACCCTCGGAAGCAGCTGACTTTCCTACAATAGTGCCTACTGTAGTTGGTGGAAGCTCTCCAACTTCATCACCTATTAGAAACCATGCTCCACAAACTGGAAAGAGAACGGAGGCAGCAGGGAAGAAAGAAAAGGAGAAGGTGAAGGATCCTAATGTGCAGAAACAACAGGGATCAGAGACTGGTAAGGTGAAGAAAGAGAGACTCGAGCAGAGGCGGGTAGTGGAGGGAGTCGGGCGCAGCAGCAACAGCGATGTGGTAAGGAAGTCAATGAAGGGGGTTAGTATGGGTATGGGTGTCGGAGGGTCCGGAATTGGCCATCTAGTGGTAGATGTTGCATCCTAATCAAAACCCTTCCCCCCCGACCCCTAGGAGCCAACTTTGTATCTCTACTTGCAGTTGTGTTATTCTTCATTTTAATGCATCCAGTATGTATTGTACATGTAGTTGGAATAGAAAATAACGGTGGCTGATTCAGGGAGTTCTTGAAATGGGAACCTCCCTTACAGCTCCTTCAGTTCCCTCCTGTCCCATTATCTATGAAGCATTGTTTGGTCATCCCTATTCATTGAACAAGCTACCAGAGAAATGCGGGTCTCTGCTTATCATGTAAAGCATGCATTCACTGTGTCATAAAACAGGTACCTGTGGTCCATCGAACAAATTACCATTAATTTGGATGACTTTTAATTGCAGGATTTTCTATGGAAGTTTGATCTGTGGTCCATGCAACAGGTACCCTATTTAATTGAACAAGTTTCTATTGTGTGCCAGTATTTTGACCAGCATTTGCATCTTCTTCCATATTTTTCCAAGCAAATTGTACAAGTCGGACTGCTTATATTTCCTGCAAGCTGGCAACAGGAGGATAGTAGTCTCTGTTGCCAGCAGACTTCCCGCTGACAGGTAAACAATAACACATTATCAGAGGACCTAGTTCTGATAGATACACACCAGCATAAGTGCAAAGCGATAAATAAACCATTGATGACACAAATGCTGACATGGTGCATGCCATGTTGTAAATTTCATTTCAGCAGATCAAATGAGAACCTTCATAAATATTATGACACTATCAAAAGTTAGTTTTTAATCTTTTCCAAGGGCAGGCTGGAGTGTTAAAAAATTTTCCAAGTGCTTACTCAATGTGCTTGCCATCTGTGATTACCTGATCCCTAACTCCTCAAATGCTCAATTGGGTACCGCCGAATCTACCATAAATGGTCACAGGCCCCCAGTCAATAATGTTAGTTAATGCTTAATACTAGTTTTGAACTGAAAGAATCTCCCTCATGCACTATTTCTTCTAATGTAAAATGTATTAAAACATTAACAAAAAGAACCTCTGAATCCTTATATTAAGGTTTAGACTCCACAAGTGTACAAGGCAAAGTTTAGGCCATGTTTGGGATCATGGTTTTTTCAGGGGTGTAAACGAATCAAATTCGAATAGCATCAAATTCGGATCCAATTAAATATTTAAATATTCGATTTGATTCAAAATCAACTAATCAATTATTTCAGGTAATTAATAAATATATAAATAAATATTTATCGAATCAAATCAGGCCATATCCTAATTCAAATTCTATTAACTATTCAATATGAATAAAATATTCGAATTCAATCAATTAAATATTCGAATTATCTAAATCAAATTTTCAAATACCGTTGTAGACAGAAAATTTGGAACCATGATATTGTATTCCCAAAAATCCCATTTTGCCTTTTCATTCTTGTATCACATAGTCAATTTGAGTGGAATTCAGATACAAACGCCCCACAGCACATCCCATCTGCGCATTGAGAACTTCTCCCCCTGAATACGGGCGATGTTCCCAATGCACGGAGATGGACGTAACGTGGGGCGCGCCAGTGGGGAGCCCATTTGAAATTCATTTGAGTATCCGTCGTGCATATGGTGTTATCAATATTTGGAGGGACACGAGTGTTATCAATAGTTGTAGTTCTAAAAATTAACTACGACTAGGCAGCTACCGGCATAAAAAAAAAAAAAAAAAAAAAAAAAAGACAGCTACCGGGCCATCGGTTACAAACATTGATAATGGTTAGAGACTTAAAACACCACAATTGTTACTTAAAACTACAGAAATGCCATCAAAGTGTTACTTTGTTTAAATGACCAGATTACCTTCCCTGCCCAGCCAGCCGCACCATACCTTAAAAAGGGTCTCGGTCAGAAAAGGGTGGAGAACAAGGAAGGATGCAGCGGCGCAAACCACGGAACCATCCTCCTTTATTTGGCAAACACAAATAAAAGAACAACGCAAAAACAGCGAAAGAATATAAAAGGAAGGAACCTTTTTCTGTGTTGCTCCTTTTTTTTTTTTGGTGACAGAGACCAACCGAACAACACTATATTCAATTATTCATCACTTTCTTGCATAAATAAACAAAACTTTGTTTTATTTATAATAAAAATATATCATTAATTTTCATGAATGAACACACACCCCACAAGACAAGGCCATCAACAAAAGTGCTGCCTCTGCTTCTTCTTTTCCTTCAAATTTCCTCCTCTGTAACATGTGTAGCGTTGTTCTCTTTCCCTCCACCTTGCTCTGCCTCTTTTCCATGGTGACGCCTCCGGCCATTTTAAGAATATTCAGTTCTCTTCTCCTCCTCTTCCTCTGTCTGATTCCACAAGCATTACACAACGACTGCAGCCCAACAATGGAAAAACAGATTCAGCACTTTTACGACGATGAACTTAGATACCCATAGGCTCAAGACGCAGGGGAAGAGAACATCTCAAAGGAGCAAAAACAGATTAAAAGATGGCTAACTGGGGTGAGAAATCAAAGCACAAACCCATTAAAAAGAAATGAATAAAAAGGTAGAAGCAGGTGAAGGAGTTAAACTGTTATAAAAGTACCTTAGGACCAGCAGGGCCACTTCTCCATAAAGGGGTCTTGGAGGTTTTGCAGTCGACGCAGACTCTTGAGATCACCATCTGGCCTTCTGTCGCATGTTTCTTCCCCCTCACAACCTTAGCCATCTCTCCCCCTTCTTCATCTTTCCTTGCCGGAATTTTTCTGGGTCTCTTCCGGTACAATCCCAACTTCAGCTCTTGAACTGGAAGTTGAAGGTGGTGGTCGTACTGCTGATCATCATCATGATCACGATGGGGTTGATCATCATAATAACAATAAGTATGATTGTGATGATGAGGATCCCACCCTGAGCTGCTGCGTTCTGCTGAAGAAAGCATGGCGCGCGCGCGCGAGAGAGAGAGAGAGAGAGAAAGTAGGGTTTCGGTCGTTTTGGTCGCACTTTACTTTATAAGCTTTCTTGGGAAACAAGGTGGTCGTTTTCCAGTAAAATCAATGGGGGGGTTATATAGAGCCAAAGACTATATTTATTTATTTTATTCTATTTTTTAGTGGGATTAACGGTTGGATTTACAGAGACCAAGCACTGCTGTGAAGTGTGAACTAATCAACAGAACATGATGTAAGGTTAGATTTCGGTAATCACGGGTTCTAATGTGGACCCACCAGGATGATTGTGGGGACAATCTTGTGGGGGCTGATTTGAACTCCCCATTCCACGTCTCCATATCCCATCCTACATTCCTACCCTTGCAAGTGTCCCAAATCCCAATGATGGTTAAGGGCAACAAGAACTGTGGGCCGTCGGATATTGTGGTGGAGAGAATTTAGATGGTAATAAATGAGAAGCCGTATAAACCAAACGTGGGGAAAGTGAACCGTCTCTGGTTTTCATTTTCTCAATTTCAGCGGGAAAAGATGTACCAAGAAAAATCTAAAACGGACGATTCATGGCCTTCTTGTGTTAAACAAAAAAAAAGGAAATTATTACAGGGAAAAGGATGAGAAAAGGCTGGAAAAAGAACCATCAAGAACCTTTTGTTCACGTAAAGAAGTGTCTTGGTTTTGTGGCTATGCCTTTGAGACCAGGAGAGGATTTAGGCGTAAAAAAAAAAAAAAAAATTCAACCACGTAGCGGGTGATAAGAAAATCGTGGCCCACCTAAAGTAATCAACAAGGATTTACAAATCGGACCGGACCCGAAACTGTTTTGACCATTAGTTTGTGGGTCAAATAGTCCGACTGTCTGTCTGGTTTGGATGGATGGCTTATTTTGATTTAAAAAGTAACAATAGTTAAAAAATATTGTTAAATTTGATGAGTCTACAGTTCGACTATTTGGGTAAGAGGATTATTGATCAAGTCAACAATTTTTAACCCAAAAACGATTTTAGGGTGAAACGAAACTGATTTACTGAACAATTCCCAAGTTTTCAAAACAAGTGGTTTTGGCCTTTTGGGGTTGCATTGCAACTCTTATAAAAATCAAAGAAATAATTCATAAAGCAGATGTGGTTATTATGATGAACTATGAAGGGTGTTTCAGTAATAATCAAGATATATAATATGTCTTTTCGAGACGAGAATGCGCTTAAGTCTCAAGATGCATTTGAGGTTTTGTCATCGGCCCACCTGGCTAAAAGGTTAGTGGTCCTTGGAAGTAATCTGTTGTGGCCATTAAAATGGCCAAAGGATTAAGGAGCCATTTATGGTTTGAAACCAGCCACGCGGAAAGAGGGGAATGCCAACAAATATATCAACTCATTCGGGCTGCAATCTGATCTAAGCTGGTGTGTACTTGTGCGTGCGCATTATTTGTCAATAGAGGCCAACTCACAACTGAGTCTCAGATTATCAATTAATAAAGTAATAAACCATATTGTACGGTGTTGTCAAATTCAGATCGGACCGGATGGTCGAAACAGTGACAGTGATCCGGTGATGTTGTTTTCAGGTCCCAATTGATTGGTATTTGATTTTTTTTTTTTTTTTTTTGTGGTTTGTGTGAGCTAATTGGCTGATTAACCGGTAAAACTAGTTTTCTGTCGAGTTCAAGTATAATAAAACGATGTTGTATCAAAACTGTAGGGAAAAAAATGCTATGAGCTCAGCTATTTTGGGAGGGATGGACTAATCACAGATCACACAGACTCTAATTCATGTTCTCATACTTGTGAGGCCGGAGATTTTATCATTGTATATATTGACATGTTTTTACCAGGCTGGGGAGTACTGTAGATACCTCCTGAAATAAAACGTACAAAACATCTACCTAAATAAAAATTCTTTGTGGTGGATGCCGAGTGCCTCCTTACTGTGGTACGGTTCCATGTTATGTTCAAATGTATATAATCTTCATACCATTTTCATAATCTTTTTATTTTTACAGACATGCATTGGCAACATTTTCGTATTTGTATGTTTTTAACTTTTTTACTTGTCAAAGGTAAATTCTTATATAAGAAAAAATTTTACGAATGGTAAATTTTTTAATTAAAAGTTTATTGGAAAAAGAAATTATTTAAAAAAATAAATAAATATTTATGGATAATATATTTAATTGATAAAATAAAAGATTAAATAAATAATCACGGCCATCGGGCAATAGAGTGAAAGAGGGAGAGATGACTTTTGTCATTGTAGTTTTGTTTTATATAGTGAAATAATTGGAAATAGTTAAATAATAATTAATTTAATTTAATAAATAAATGAGATGAGTAGATAATCAAGTGAGAGAGTATATATACACACACACAATTCTATGTCTTATTTTGCTAGCAATAATAATTTGTTAGATTATTAAATTATTAACTAGTTAAATAATTTAGTAAAATAAGTAAATAAATAAAACTTTATGTATTATCAATACAAGATTAATAAAGATTATCTCAAATTATTTAATTAATTAATTTAGCGTTGTTAAAGGGTCAGGCAGAACTACTGGGCTACCAAGCCCATGAATAGGCTTAGCCTGATCCGTGGCCTAGCCTGGCCTAAGACTTGGCCTGCGAACCAGCTTAGCTTGTGGCATGGCACGGGCCCATGCGGGATCAGGCTAAAATAAAAATGTTAACATCTTCTTTAATTTTTTGTCTAATTTTTTATTATTTTTTTCAAAATTTTAGAAAAAACATGGCTTCGTCCGGTTCGTGGCCTAGTCTAGACTAAGACTTGGCCCATAAACCAACCTGGCCCGTGGCACGGCATGGGCCCACACGGGCTCATGCCGTATATTATATATAATAACTATATAATATATTAATATATATATTTTTATTTTCAATTTTATTATATTATTTTCATTTTACTATTGCATATATAAACAATTGTACACATCAAAATTCATATAAAATAAAATTTTAAGATCTTTTTAAATTGTTTGACTATTTATTATAATTTATGTTAAAATTTTCATTATTTTTTTCAAAATAAAAAAAAAGCATGGCTTAGCCTGATTCATGGCCAAACCTGGCCTAAGACTTGCCCCGCAGACCAGCCCGGCCTGTGGCACAATACAAGCGGCCTATGCAGGCTTGGGCCAAGGGTTGTGCTGCGCCAACCCCCTAAAGTATTCTAGGGGAGGGAAACACATCCCGCATGGCACGACCCAATACGGCCCGATTATAAATAAAATGAGAGATAAAGACAATTTTTAACAAATATGAAAAAAGGTGGAAGTTTAGTAGCGTCATTTTAAATAATTATAGCAATGGTACCATTGTAAATAATTATATATTTAGTAGCAGATATATATGAGGAAGAAGAGAAATAACAAGTAATGATTTTTTTTTATTTTTGTTGTATCCAATGGTATCATTGAAATTAATTAAATTTGTAATGGTAATGATTAAAAGTATAAAAAGGGAAATTATAAGATTATAATATTTCATTTAGATTATATAGAAAATATTTCATTTGACAAATACATTCGGCCGTATAGACTTTTGTTTTTATGTTTTATATAGATAGATAGATAAATAGATAGATTGACGTGGAGATATTTCCAAGGAGATGTGCGTAAAGTAAAAGAACGCTTTTACGAGGACTGAATTCAAGTTACCCAATACTATAAATACCCACTTGTATCTTATAAAGAAAAGATTAGGTGAGAATGTGGAGTAGTTGAATAAAGTTGGAAGTCTTAGGAATATTTTGCAACAAGGGTTTTCTGTGAAGCCTTGTAAGAGTGAAAGGTTCTATATGTGAAAAAGTTATTCATCTTTGTATCTCTAGCATTTGTTTATATGATAAATTTTGTAATTTGTTATAACCAATAGACATAGGCTCCACACAAATCTTTTTGTGCTAATGTTAATATTTGTTTTTCTTTCCTTACTTCATATATACATTCTCAGCATGTCTATATTTTTGTTTGTTGGTTGCCATTGGAACTTGGTATTTCTCCTATGTTTAACACACTGAATTTGTGTCACTTAGATTTACCTGACAATTCTACTCTTCTGTTATTGCAAGTCACTTGGTCCACGATATCAACCCTATCTCAACTTTCAGCCAAGGAACAGCATGTGGTGTAGGGTCTTTATAACTTGTCAGATTGGTTGGGTCCCACTTGACACTTGGAGAGGAAGGCTTGCATCAACCAATGAACACGTAACCGACATTGTATGAAAACTGTTCTCTTTTTAGGTTGACATTCAAACATTGTATGTAAAGCAAAAAAATCCCTCTAATTAATGAAAAGTCTTTACATAAAGTTATGATTGGGATGTTAAATTAGTAGTCTGACACATGGAATGAGAGGGTGAGCTTTGGCACAACCATTGGATTTGTGACCGGTGTTCAAATCTTAGAAACAGCTTCTCGGATTGCTCCATTTCAATTTGGGTGATCAGAGTTCAAATCTTAGAAACAGCATTGTGTTCCTCTCCAGACCCCACATTTGTGGGAGCACTGGACTTTTACATATATGAAATTAATTGGCCATTCTTTTGGGTGTGGCGTTCTACACCTAACTCTGAAAATTCAAATGCTCAGAATTTACTTGGTTGTCGGGTTATTATACTTGCCTTGCACAGGGCTCGGATCTCTTGCCCACGAGTTGTTTCCAAATCTTTATCCACGGTACATTACAGTTGTGCATTAAGAATATCTTCTTTTTTGTTCATGGAGAGATTTTCTCAATACACGGTATTAGTGTTTTGTAGGTGGAGATATAAGAACAATTTGTGGGTAGTAAATCTGGATTGACTTGCATGAATACACAACACACCGAACAACAGGATTTATCTTTTTAATTATCCTCCAGTCAATAATGTAGCTTACATTTAAGCTATGTTTGATTTGAAGGAAAAGGTATGAAAAAGCAACTTGAACAAAGCAAAGGCCACCAATGGCCTAAAGCTTGAACCAATAATAGGGTCTGGGTGGTTAGGATTGGTTCTACATGTTTATATACATGCTACCTATAAACCGATTGGCTCTTTATCAGTTATAGACCCTATGAACTTGATTA